GCAAAACTTTATTTTGGTATAATAAGCATAATCTAGAGGGCTTTGCCTTTTCTTATAAGCCATTTCTGATTCCAACTGATTAACTACAGGTCAAGTTATTATTTGTTGTTCCTACAACTTGGTTAAGCGACAAGACTTTTGTCAGGCACTGTAGGTTATATACATTACAGAAGACAAACATCTTAAGGGGACATCTACAGTGTGTGTTCTTACAGAATCTTAAAGTGGCTTCTTCTATTAGGTAACATTTCAATGACACATTATGTAGTTTTCCAATTACTTCTAAGAGGCAATTTAGTCAGTAAATTAAAAAGTATGCTTGTGAGACACCTATATGCATTGCAAGAATCATTTTAATCACAGCCAGCAGATGACAGTGTACTGCAGAAATTTAGGGGAGCATCTTTGGTCTTACAACCACATGCACTTAAATAAAAAAACACAAACTTCAGGAAAATTAAATCAAAAGTGCACTATAGTGCCTGTTCAATTCCCCCGTGTGATAAATTTATGTAGAGAATATGACTGAAATAAAATGCATAAAAACGGAAATGAGGATAAAGCACTGAGGGCAGACGACCAGCTGTTTACAGTAGGGCTTCACAGCCACCCACCTGTGGCCGGTACTTTGTCGGGGGGGGGGGGGCTGATTTGTGGAGGGGTTGGTTCATTTCTAAAAATAAATTATATTTTCAATTCCTTTACAATCCCACACCTTCACATGTTATGTTTGCATCTGAAAAATAGGAAACAAATAAACGTATGACATCATTGACCGATGTGTCAGCATGGTCCCTCCCCCCAGGCTGTTTTAGCTGTCTGTGACATTTTTGTACGATTTAAACAGGTCCACCGACGTCAAAGGGTTGGGAATCCCTAGTTTACATTGGTCACAGCAGAAAGACGAGCAGAGGATCTGTCATTACATACACTATAATGGCAGAGAGTTTAAAGGAAAATCTGGCTTAGACGTAAACCGTCACAGACCCTGACATGCTGCAAAAACAAAATATTTACCTACTCATAAATGTTGCACAAATCATTTGCGTATTAGTGTAATTTCCATGCAGGACAGTTAGTGATCCTGCATACTGACTGTCTCTCTGTATGGGCTGTCAGGCACCAAAGATGTAAATAGCAGAAAATAAATGTATTCAACATCATATTATAAATACAAAAGACTGTGTAGTGAGAGAAGAATGTGTAATTTCTTGGCACAAAGGCACAGTGGTGATGTCGCTTCACGTTGTCATGTCGTCAGATGTGAAAGAGAGATGACTCGAGCATGGCTCATTCTTTATGGCTCGCCTCGCCTCTGGGGCATCAGCTGATCAACGCGTGTCTCCTGCCTCACGGGCCCCTGGGTGGCTGATCAGCTGTGAAACGGCCCCAGGTTCATGAGAAGCCTGTTTGTGGCTCGTTCGCGAGTCTCTGGTTGACCTCACATCCTTTCCTGCACTTTAAGACCCTTCACCCCGTGGACCTGAGCAGAGAGAGGCCCGCATACATATGACACACCATAATTCTCAGACACAAAAGGGCTACATGTTTTGAGACGGACAAAAACCTCCAGTTTACATTCACACTGTGAAAGAACAAGTGACACGAAACAGTAACTGATGATGAGTTCAGAATGTCTGGTATTCTGTTCCATCTGGTAACTCCCTTCACATCAAAGTGAAGCATTTCTCATTCTCAACAACAAATAGGCAAACTGCATGCACAATAACACTTACAAACTTACGGTTATCTTATTTCTGTAAGCCTCTTACAGCAGAGAGAAATGTGATTCGTTAACTGCCTTATGCAGTACTAATGGTAGCATAAGCTACTTATAATGGTAGACTCAGATCTCAATGCGTATTGACCATCAACTTTTAATCCACTGAGGAATGACCAAGCTTTTCACTGCTTTCCCTGACGGCCAATCCCTTTGTGTGTCCTTCTGTAGAATCAGTCCTCATTCTCTTCCACAAATCAAAGGCTAGCAACTGCACGTAGGACCTGACCACTCGTCAGGTTGGTGCCTGTAACAAGCTTTCGGCCATTAGTAAGAGAAAACCCTCCATTAAAAAAGAAAACACCACACTCAAATACCAAGCAGAAGATGACAAGAGATTTGAAAATGTGTCCAAACTATGACCATCCATCACACGTAACTTCATATCTGCTCACCATCTTTCCATTGCATGTAACTTCATATTCCTATATCAGACATCTACTCGCCATCCTTCAGTTATGTGCAACTTAATATTTCCATAACTGACATCCGCTCACTATCCTTCCGTTACACGTAACTTCAAATTCCCGTATCTGACATCTGCTTGCCATTCTCCCGTTACATGTAACTTCATATTCCAATATCTGACATCTGCTCTCCATCCTTCTGTTACGTGTAACGTCAAATTCCCATATCTGTCATCGGCTCGCTATCCTTCAGTCAATTGTAATTTCATATTCTCGTATCTGACATCTGCTTGTCGTCCTTCCATTACATATAACTTCATATTCCCACATCTTGCATTTGCTCGTCAGTATCAGTGCTCATTGTCTTTCATTCTCACAGGAAGGATTTCCCTACTTTAGTCACATTTTATCCCCCTTGAAGCCTTTTGCCTGCACTTAATGGGCTTGTTAATGCTCATTACAACCATAACAGCACAAAGTGAAGATTAATGCACCCATCTCTCTCCTGTGCACTTTTAATTTTGGCCCCTTTTCTCTTTACATATAAACCAGGATATCTGAGCATCTTTACATGGCTTGGCACATCTTATAGATATGAATCACTTTGACGTTGCTGGAAACCGCCAAATGGCAATACTAGGAAACATCAATATTCACTGTTTAACTTTTTTAAAACTTCTTTTTGTTTTTAATATTATTGTAGGCAAAATCTGTTCATTCTGCATGAAGTGAAGAAACATGTGAACATTACATAGAGAAACAATTCTGAAAGAAATTATTTTAAGCATTAAGAAGAACCCTTCAAATAATCCCAGGCTAGGGCCAGTAACCAAGGGCCAGTGACCCTTTCTAAATTCGTTCTTTCCTTGATTGTTCCTAAATGTGTTCCCCTCACACTGTTTTGTTACCCTGTTGGCATTCGACACATTAGGTAGCTAAGAGACCAGCCCACACATTCACCTCACAAAGTCAGGCCAGAGTCAGCAAATGCGCACAGATTCTGGGACAGTATGACGTCTGTGCATCCTTAATCTCACCCACTCTCCTAAAGACCACCAAAGCAGCAGCAGCAGTGACTGCCTGTGACCATATCCAGAGACAGTACCACAGTCCTATCCCAGGACTGGGCAGTCCTGCTTAAGTGCATCCTGCATACTTGCTAAGTCTGACAAAGCCATTCTGTTGTGTTACAGCAACAACATAATTGCATATTGGCCGTTAACTGTTGTCTGAAAACAAAGCAGGGATTTATTAGTTTGGTTATTGTGTTTTGATTTCACACACATTTACCGGACAAATTATTTCTCTTCAGTTTGTTCTGTATGTTCCAGATGTAATTCAAACACTCATTAATAAGTCTGTCAGACCCCGTTTTCAGTACTGGCCTCTTCCACATGTCTGCATACTTTGTACTGACAAACAAATGCGAATGATTTGCGAGCTCGCTTTTATAATGGCCTGTAAGTTTTATTATAACTTATAATAATTTACTATTTTTGCAACAAAAAAAAAACACAGAGTGCTTCAATACGTCAATCAACATTTATGACGTTACAGTCGAAATTACCTGCGTTCTGAAATGTCACCGTATCTGAAAGACAGAGACCAGGGGACAAAATAGCACTCCAGAGATGCAGTAAGAAACTATCTCCACAGGCAACAGCCTCCTGGATACTGTTGCTATAGAAACTTTAAGCATTTTTATCCTGACATCAACCTTGTCTTAGTATTAGCTTTACTGCATAATAATAATTCATATCCCTCTTATCTTTCCATATCCTGTTTGGTCAGAGGTGAGAGGTCACAGGCTCTGAAACAGAAATGCAGCATTCAAACACGAGTGTAATAGGATTCTGCGGGAGAGAGTGAAAAAGTTCACACTGTTAATAAGCTTTTAAAGCTGTTACATATATGGTGTGCCTTTAGAGTGTTTTTCTGGGGAAACCCTTTTGTAAGTGTCTGGGTTCTTATGTCCATCTTTTCACCTTCTGAATTCTGGGCCACACGCATACTCTGGGTGAGATACGAAAACCAGATTAATGCAGTCCGATCCAAAAAAAATGGGGAGCCAGGGCTGCCATTACCTGGCGAACCAGCATGGTTAGCCAAGAAAATGGCAAACAGGGTCCTTGGGAGGTAAGATACCATTTTGAGGTCGTCTGTTGATCTGCCTGTCAAAAAGGAAGACCAGACTAGCTGGCGTTCTTTTCCTCCAAATCCCAAGGTAGCAGATTTTGGTCCATGTTGAGACCGGTGGTGAAAGGGCTCACCTGCGACATGCTTTTCCTGATTTCCTGGAAACTTCTACCTTCAGTCTCAAGGTGGTTGTCACTCTTCAGAAATCACTACTCGGTCTGCAGAGTTTTGCAGATTCTTTTTTATGTGCCAAAATATTACGTGCAAGAAATCCGCTCCTGTTTTTTTGACCAGCGTGCAATGTTTGCCGACAGGAGGCTGGAACAGCAGCATCTGGGAATCCCTGCTCCTTGGATTAACCTCTTGATCTCATCTGTGATGATAAAAGGGAAACTTTGGCACTGTATTGTGGGAAAGCTGGCTCTGGTGCTCCAAGTTTTCTACCTCTGAGCTGGTTAGGCATGACCAGTGTCAGAGTGTCAGAGCGTCAGAGCTGTTGGCTTTGCATAAAATCAAGCCCACTAAACTGGCCCCACACTATACTGTTTTTTTTTTTTTTTTTTTTTTTTTACAAAAATGGGATTAAATAACTGTTTGAAAGATTTCCTCTTTTATTCCACTGTATCCCGACAGGGGGATACTTATTCACAGCAATGACAAGATCACACCCAAAATAATGTAGGTCACAATAACAATGATTTCCACTGATCCACAAAGGTTCTGGTTCACAGATGAGTCGTACTGAATTTTTTTGCTGTCTTTGAGCTTCAGCAGGCATGAAGCTGCAGGACTTAACAGTGTCTCACAGTGACATCATGAACAATCCAGGGCATTTTCTTATCCTTTCGCATAACTGCATTTTAAAGAGAATTCAATCATGCCAATCTGAGTGCTGAATTAGCCAAGCTGTTAGCGAAACGCACGCCCAATCATAGTCGCTGATAGGGTTCTGGGAAGCCGGGGCTTATGAGGATCCCACTTCATCCCACCAATGGCTCTAAAACATCTTAGAGCACTGGGAGATTTGCGGCTACTCTCATCCAGCTGTGCTGAGCCATTACTAAATGAGCCCACTCTGAAACAGCGAGGCGGGAAGCTATAGCCTACACTCAACTGTCTCTGTGCTCTGGGTGGAGAACTTGATGCATCAAATTGGAATCCTAAACCTCAACTCAGGTGCCCATTTGTCTGGCCATAATCCCTCTGCTAATAAGCACTATCAGGTTTTTCTTCTGAGAGCTCAGCCAAATCCCCCTCCCCTCACCTGAAAAGGATGTAATACAGGCATTGCACATGGACGCTGGATGGCTGGTTGCAGCCCTTGGAGAGTCTGGCAGAGACAAGGAAATGTTGCTTGGGGCAGATGTGGAAGGCATGTTTGTGTAGGAGGGAGACTTCAGCCTTAGGAAAAGTGAAAGATATCCTCACTCTTGCTGGTGTGTTTTTAAGGATTCTATCTGCATCTTGTTGTGGGTCAGGTTAATGTTGTCAGGTGAGAAGAAACTAAGAAACAGGAGATATTTGATGTACAAGATTTAAGATAACAATGGTCATATGTGGTCTTTCTTATAGGAAATGTCCAGATGGGTTTGAATGCTTGAAAGCAGGAAGGAACCCAAACTATGGCTACACCAGTTTTGACAGCTTCGGGTGGGCGTTTCTCGCTCTGTTTCGCCTGATGACGCAGGACTACTGGGAAAACCTCTACCAGCAGGTAATGGTGCGCTAGTGTGCGCATCAACTACTCACAGCTAGGCAACCCATTAGTGACACAATTCTTTAATTTAAAGGAACCTCATACTTGGCTGAAATCAAAAAGGGATGATCACAACAAGAATTATGGAGATTGTAACTACTGAAGCATATTGATTGAAATCCTTGATCGTTTTAGGTCAGTGTTTCCCAAACCGGTCCTGGGGGACCCTCAGATGGTAGGGAGCATCTGGGGGATCCCGAGGACAGAGTTGGGAAATTTTAGATGATGCCTCACTCAATCCATTCTGATATAAAACCTTTCCCTGCCAATGTCAGACTCTTCGCTCTGCAGGAAAGACCTACATGATCTTCTTCGTGCTGGTGATCTTCCTGGGCTCCTTCTACTTGGTGAACCTGATCCTGGCCGTGGTGGCCATGGCCTATGAGGAGCAGAACCAGGCGACCATCGCTGAGGCTTGGCAAAAGGAGCATGAGTTCCAAATGGCGATGGAGCAGCTGCGCCGGGAGCAACAGGTATATCATCATACTACTCTCAGATGCTTGAGATAGACCCTTATCCCCATTGTTCCAAGGATGCTGGCTTACCCTGCTCCCTTACCCCACACTTTCCACACCTGCATGTTGCTTTGGACAAAAGCATCCGCTAAATTAAAAATTATTAGCATCCCTATAAGGTCATCATGGGCAGCATGATGGTGCAGTGGTTAGCGCTGCTGCCTCACAACAAGAAGGTCCTGGGTTCGGTCCTGGGTCATTTCTGTGTGGAGTTCCCCATGTTCGTGTGGGTTTCCGCCATGGGTTCCAGTTTCCTCCCATGGTCCAAAAGTGTGCATGATAGGTTGATTGGCGAGTCTAAATTGGCCCTGTGAGTGTGTGTGCCCTGTGGTGTGTTGGTGACTGCCCAGGGTTGTTTCCTGCCTGTGCCCATTGTTACTGGGATTGGCTCTGGGCGACCCCAGTTGGGATTGAGTAGTGATGGATGGATGAGGTCATCATGCTCAGATGATTGAGTTACTAATTTAAATCCATGTGACTTTCTGAGACTTCATTTCACAAAATGTATCATCGACAACAGACACATGAAGTAGCCTTACCCCTTAGCCTACTTCCTGTCTGTTTGTGCACCTTCGACCCCTAGGCGATATCACAAAGGGCCCATGAGACAGACTCCATCCGATCGCCAGAAGTTTCTCCCTTCACTTTGAGAGATTCCAAAGTCCGGAAGAAACGGAGGAAATCCCAGAGATCCCCATCGGAAGTGACAGAAGCTGATGTGGATGAAAAGAATTTGGACTTGACTGATGGGCCAAAAGTAAGTTGGTTACACCTGAAACAGTTTCAAAACAGTACTCTTAAGGGCTTTGGGAAGGGTGCTGTATAAAAATGAATTAAATCGAATCAGACGCAATTTGATTAGCAGCCTGGAATATCTCATAGGCACTAAGGCTGCGTGACTGTCAATCAAAAATGAGGATCCACGCTAAGGAGATACAGGAACTGCCTAGAAAGCTGAGGCATCACAACCATTCCTAGATTTAAGTATGGGCTGTATATCAACATCGAAGGCACTAGAAGTCGTTTGGCTTTTTAAAAACTTTCAGAAGCGTCCCAATGACCTGCTTTTCTTAGCCTCATTCTGGCTCCAATCACACCTTCATTCCTTAATTTGTCATTTTCACTCCCATGACAAATCTAGGTCTCATTTTAACAAACCTGTAGGATTTCAGTCACACCTAAGGGTCGGTCATGTATCTCTCCTTTCTCGTGACCTTCCCCCACCCCCCTGCAAGATGCAGCACCTCCTTGTCCAGACCCTGTCATCTCACCCTCTGAGCGCCAGAAGAGGAAGTCAGGTCAGTATCTTCACCTTCCGGCTCCGCAAGGACTCGGAAGCGGAAGGCGACTACCTGGACACCCGGAGTGGCACCGGCTCTACGCCCATTGCCTGGCCTAAACGACGGACAAGCAACCAAAGCATGGGAAGCTATGGCTCCCAGGTTTTCACGCCCACCCTGACCATCAACGGTAGACTAGCTGTGGACCAGAACGGGGTCAACTGCTTGGGGCTGACTGTGCCACCAAGTCCCTTGGTGAAATTCTGGGATGGCAGTGTAAGTCGTCCAGGGGTGAACGTCACCCTGCTCCAGTTGTGTTCAGCTGAAACTGTCTCTACCTGTGACTTTGTACCTAAGAGCCTTGTGTTGGTTCAAATTCAGATTGGGGGTTTATGAGTTAAATATACAAGTATATTAATGGTAAATAATAGTCCATGAAATGAAATGGTTAAAGACAGGATCACAGTGCACAAACTGAATAAGAAAACTGGCTCTCCTACAATAACTGCGATTGTCTATTATGGTCTCAGGGCATAAAGACTTGTTTCAGTTTTTGAGTCATGAGAACTTCATTGTGTGCGATGTTAGGGGAGGCCTGCCACATAATTCATACACGTGGTGTTTGCTGTAGACTCCATATTGTCGTGTTCATCACTGTCACTCCAGCCCCAAGCCTTGCATACTCTCCCCAAGCTCTCTGCACAGCAGCATCCCTTTGTTACTGGTGCCGGACACACAAGGACACCATTGGACTTGCAGTTATTTTCCAGGAGATGCTTTCTTCACAGTGGCTTTCAGGGTCACTGCTAATCCGTCTGTGTCTGTGTGTTTGTGTGTATACACTGCACTTCCCTGTAATCTCCTGACACTGTATAGTCTTGAATTCTCTGCTGCCATTAAGGCAAAGCAAAACCCTGCAACAGTGACAAGCACGGCATGTCTGCGAATGGGATTTCGGAGCAGCTGAAAACGATGAGGCAGGGAGCCACCTTACCTGGCCGTAGGTAACCTCAGATGTCTCACAGGAATCTGTGTATTGAAATAAGGACGTCCTTCTCATCCAGGGCATGAGGTTTTAAAAGGAAACCCTGCATGCACTGTAAAAATTCAGTGTGCTCACACAGATAAATGTCATCATAACACAAGATGGCAGGCCTTCTGTTTTCTGCTGTGATTCCTGGTTAGTGGATGCCTTTTTCTGATAAACACACCTTTACTCACATGCTAAGGGAATTTTAGAGCTACCATGAGACCTAAATATGAAGCTTTTCCCTTGTGGAAGGAAACAGACAAATAAGGGAAAACCCAGACAGACTCAAACATCAGGTGTGCCAGCATGACCAGCTGAGGCACTGTAACAGCTGACTTAAAAAATGTGGTAGCTGATTTATATATATGCAGGGAGTGCTGCCACATTAAACAGTCTGGGATTAACACCTTACTGACTCGATATTACCAATGCCCACCAGACGAAGAAATACGGTTCGATCCACAACCATCACTGTCACACTCTGCTGAGCTGGCGTAAGACACTACAGACAGAGGCTAAAACATTGACACTGCAGTCAATCAAGGCAGTCCTGTGAATCTCACTGTGTGGTACAGAAGATTTTTATTATTAATCCAACTGAAGATTTCGACTGAGTTCAGTGCAGTTACAAAATTGCAATTAGTGCAACTGTTTATAGTGAAAAGAACACCCCAACAATTTAAATAAATTTGTAGCAAATTACTTTCTATAGTGCAAAATATTTGTAATTAAAATTCATAATCTTGGATAATTATTTCTGTATATTCATAATTGGGGTTGGGAAATTAATTGCATTAGCGCATGCCGTTAATTTTAAAGTCATTATTATTTCTTTGATCGCATTAACACATTCAGTATTTTCATAACCAAATGGGAGAACAGTATGAGCAAAGACATTTAATAAAGACTTTTAATATTCTTTCATGGTCAAAAGAGAGAGTTTAGATAATGATGTTGTAAAGAATCTCAGACTTAAGAGCTAAAATCAAAAGACTCAGTTACCGTCTCCCAGGGAAACAGATACAACCTGGTTTAATTCATTTGAAAAAATTGTCAGGCGGAGGCATACTTAGGATAAAAGTGACATAATTTGCAGTATTAGTTTTATTTTATTAAAGGGTTATCCCTTAAAATCTTAAGATATCACATGTCATTAAGGAGACTTTCAGTAGTTGTCATGCTTCTGGTTTTACAGTTATTTGCCAAATAGGTTTTAAATTTTAGATTGATCACGCAGTCCAAATTAAACAGTGTGTCTATCTGGCTGTTGAATACCTGACATTATTTGTACATGTTTTATATGCCATTAATCGCCAAGGTGTGAGATTAAAAAAACAATTGTTGCTTGACATCCCTACTTATAATACAATGCCCTTTCTTGTCTGGTTTCACCCTGGCCATGTAGCCTATTTGAAAGCATTGATATTCAGCTTGTACTTGCTTGCAAGTCGCATTTTTGTTGGAATTGCAATCTGCACATTACAGGTTTAAGTTATACCATTAAATATTAAAATATGGGTCATTCTCACAAACTTGGAAATTTTTCCAAAAAAAGTTACAGTGAAAAACAGTATTTGTTTTTGTGAAAACTAAATGACGTTACGTAAACTATTTATGTTTATTAAAATTTTGTCACTTGATGCTCTGATTTGATGATATTTTTCAATCATTTTCACCAAATAGGTAGCCAAAAATCAAAGAACACAACACTAGATAAAATGTTTTTAAATCATAAATATAAGCTTTATTGCATGTAACTATCAACAATCAATTTGTATAAGATGCATATTTATGCTCAATTTTTGGTTCGTTTTGATGTCCCTAACTCTTGCCCTGGATTTGATGAAATATTCTTTTTATTACAGAAATAAATCATAATATAACAATATTGATTAACTATCTCAGAGGCAAAACTGACCGTTTAAACAATGAAGTTGTATAATTGCATTACTGTCTTCAAACTAATTTTAAAAAAGGGGGAATATTTTATATTTTAAGGTAATGAGTTTGTGGGAATGTTCCATATGCTCCCCCATGTCTTAATTCTATGTTAATTTAGGGATTCAATGTGTATAATTGTAAGTTTTTGGGTTAGGTCACAATTAATCACAGAAAATGGTGTGATTAATTAGTTAATTTTTTTAACGATTCACAGCCCTAAGTAGAATAATAATCACCATCAGTCAATCAATATAACTTTTAAAGAGGTCCAACATTGCACAACAATCTAAAACTTAAGAATAGTCTTATTGGTTAGTCATAGTAGACCCCACCCTTCTGAATGGATGCTGTGGTCTACATCATGTCCCTGGTGTCCCTGCAGAGGTCCCCACGGCTGAGCGAGGCAAGTGGCTCACTGTACCCTGAGAGGCTGTCCCCGGACTTACTGGAGGAGCCCTTCTCCAGGAACAGACAGCCCAGCACAGCCAGTTTCCTCTCTGATGCCATGGAAGGTAAGACCAAAAAAGAGAGACTCTTCTACTGCTTTCCATATCCTCATCATCAGTGTTTTATGAATATACTGAATACCTTACAACCGACTGCACTGGACCATATACCGTGTTCAGTATAACTTGCACCACCTGAAACCGTTTTCCAAGCCCTTTTTCAGAATGAAAATTAAATAAAAACCTCTTGAGATATTTCTGAGCTCAACAAAGGTCATGATGCTTAGTCACTATATTGATAAATCATGAATCATAATGACCCTTTTATAAAACGCTAGCCAGAGACCTATTATATGGAACAACGCGTTGTTTCTGTCATGTGCATGGGGTCCTGCACCAAAAAGTTCATGTTGAAATTAAACAAAAAACAGAATCATTTTTACCAAATCTTAAATCCTGTAACGGTGACCCAAGATGCCCTAGTACTTTACACCAACCGAGTAATAAATGAAATCTGAAGTGGACAGAAGAAAATAGCCCACCGTGAATGTCAAATCTCAGAAACACAGAATGTTACAGTCTTTCTGGTAGATAGCCAGCCAATCAGAGCCAAGACGGAATAAACCAATAAGCTGATAGAAACACAAATTAAACGATGTCTGAGGTCAGTCCAGGTGACAGCACCATTGCGGCTTGCAATAAAACAGATCTTATGTTTCAGTTTAACAGAAGGAATACTAACATTTCCAAACAGGATGAGTAGTGTTTGCTTGGCAGTGGAATGCTGTAATCTCAGTAAAACAGGTGTTTCTCGTCTCTTTTTACAAGTTTGTTCAGCTGTATAATTAAAGACGCGGACATTGAGACTCGCCGTGAATTCCCAGTGTTGATAAGATAATTGTTTACTCGCTGGCTAACACAATACAGCTTAAATATTTGTGCAGTGTTATTTCCGAAAGCCCTGTTCCTTTCATGCAAATGTGTGTTATATATTCAGCGCTGGCTAGCACTGGCTAGTTTTAGCTGTGTAGGGTTTCAGTAGTTCAGATCTTTAAAGTCACTCAATTGTGTTTCTGCCAGAATCAGTAAGGTCAGATTCTACTCTTTGCATTTGCTGAAGAAAACGCCACCAAAAGTAAGAAAAAAACAAAAAACAATGCGAATGTCAGTTATGGAATTTGGGCTTTTGAAAATGCGTTCAGTGTGAAACACAAAATTCACATTAGCTCATTGTTCATATTAGCTTGCCATATTGATCTCACAGATCATCACTAGACATCAACTCACCATGTTCATGCTTTAAAAAACTTTGCATCATATGGTTTGACACGCGGTGGCATCCTTCCAGAACTGGAGGAGTCCCGGCAGAAGTGCCCCCCCTGCTGGTACATATTTGCCCATAAGTACCTCATCTGGGACTGCTGCCCCATGTGGCTGAAGGTGAAAGAGTTGGTCACGTTTGTGGTGATGGATCCGTTCATGGACCTGGCCATCACAGTGTGCATCGTCCTGAACACCCTCTTCATGGCATTGGAGCATTACCCCATGACAGATGAGTTCAACAAGATGCTTTCCGTGGGCAATCTGGTAAGACCAAGCAGAACACAACACTCAGTGCCGTCATCTATCTTCACTGCCCCCTGCTGCATCACTGTAACGTTGAAGTTACCCAGAATTCCATGTCCCTGTATAAACACGTTTGTTTTTATTAAATATAACCAGGATGGGTTCCAAGACTATTGAGATATATATATACATATATATATATATACACACACACACACACACACACACACTGGAACCTCGGATTACGAGTAACGCGGTTTACGAGTGTTCCGCAAGACGAGCAAAGATTTTTAATAAATTTTGAGTCCTGGTTTACGAGCGCCAAGTATCATCAAAAATCATATGGCACACATGCGCTCCTTGTTCTTCTTGTTTTTACGTGCGCTCAGCTTCAAAACAGGAAGCGCATGCGTGCGCTTCTTGTTTTGACGCCGAGCGCACGTCATCACAACTGAACCAATAGTTATTCACTTTCTCATGCTGCAGAATTGTGGGTAATCGTCTCCCATGCTCGGTCTCAGTCGGCATGTCTCACTCGTATAGTCAAAATTTAGTAGAAAAGCACCACCTGAATAAGGGCGTAGCAATGCGAGCGATGAATCTGTTTAACGACAATGCAATGTCCACATTATTGCGAAATCGAAAAGGAGGCAAAAGAGGCTGTCATTGGATTGGATCAGTCAGCATGTATTAATTGGATCAGTGATTCCGTTAATTATAGTGAAAGTCGTCCTACAAAATAACCCTCCTCTTCTCCTCTCTTGTCTCCCTCACACCATCCACGATTCTTTTCAAAAGTAAAGCGCAGGTTAATTTGTTTTATGTATTTTTACTTTATATTTTGTATTAATAATTTTTATATGAATATTTTTGAATTGTAGAACGGATCGTATGAGTTTCCATTATTTCTAATGGGAAAATTCGCTTTGATATACGAGTGCTTTGGATTACAAGCATGTTTCCGGAACAAATTATTCTCGTAAACCAAGGTACCACTGTATATATATATCATTCTACAGAAGCAAATCCACATAGTCTTTGTATTACTAATAATTTGTGCAGTGGGCCAGCAATCATACAAATTTATTTCTAAGCATATTTCTTGGAACAGTCAGAGCTGATGACGTTACTAACAGCAGGCAGTCGTTAACTTAATCGGTCCTCGAATTACTGTTCAGCCAAAGGTAAGACTGGTCATCACTGTTGATGTTGACAGTGTGGATACTACTGGTTTCAGCTGCAATAAATGTGCAAAAAGGGATGACACAGCTATGACACAATGACTCCTCATGACACAGTCACAACACAATGACTTGACGGGAGACTGATGAACATGCACAGCTCAGCAGAGATTCTGGGATATCAGCTCAGGGCACCACTTTTGCATGCCATCCATGCGGCTGGCCACACAAGGTGCTGAACAGTCTCCGCTGGCCTTTGTCATGCATACAGGGAGACTGGTGCCCTGTGAGTCACCCCACTGCTTTTATCTGGACACCTGCACGTTAATTGCGGCTCTCCACTTGACAGGAGACACCATCTGGATACAGATGCAGCGTCCTCAGAAAGGGTCCTCTGGGGCACGGATGTCGGGTGTGAACATGTGTGCAAATTTCACATCACCGTGCACATTACATATGCATTTCCACAGCAGACCGCAATGGAGTATCTGTGTTTCTTGTGTCTGGTCTCTCTCTGACCCTTACCACCTTTAAATTAACATGCAATAAAACCAGAAGCTACTGCTTTTCCCCCAGTGCGTTATGCAAATTACACGATCTGAAGACCTGTTTTTTTTTTTTGTACAACTTTTAAACAAATCATTTTAAAAATAAATGCAGATTTGGAATATGATTAAGAAAGCGCATGTTCCTCAGCATTTGCAGAACAAATGAACCCCCAAGAACATATTTAACATTCATGCACAGGCTGGTTATTGTCCACACAGGCTGCTCCATGATGATGAGACTCGCTGTGGGGTCTGTTCTTATGTCAGTAGGGCTGATCGCTTTCTTTTCTGCTGTTGTCTAGTATTTTTGGGAAAGAAACTAAATATGGAGTCAGTCCAGTAAAAAAAAAACCTGATTATCAATACCTGCATATGAATATGAATTTGAGGGGGGACTTTTCTTCATGAGATTAATTATGCTCCAGAACAAGTGAACCCCCCCGCCACCCCAAGGTATTCACACAAACCCTACGTCTTTGTGTGGGTGGCTGCAGGTATTATGTGTTATGTAAGATTACATAAGAATGCTTTCAGAAAAACCTTTTTTTTCATATTTTAGAGACTGAAGGAGTGTGTGCATTTCTAAGAATATGTGAATGCTAAGCAGCAGGAAGCCTATTGTGTTCTGAGGTTTGAACCTGAAGTCCCTTGGTTAGGCTTCGGATAGGTACGACACACTGGAGTTAATGCGACCGTCCCCTCTGTCGTCTGGAGAACTTGGGGCAGGTGCAGTAACGCATGGAATTTTTACACCAAGTAATTGGACACTTAATTATGTACCTGAAAACCAGTCAGACTACATGCTTTTCCCACTGATTGGCCATTAAAAACCAGATGCGTGTCTGATGATGAGCTGTATGACATCCACTCACTGGGCTAATTAATCGATGTAACTAATCAGGCCCAGCTGGTTACTGGAAGGTGTGATTCACTTAAAGGACCCGGCATCCAACAGGGAAGACACAGAATGAGGACTTGAAAATCAGACCTCCTGGTTTTGAAGGCGTTAAGTTATGGTACACCCAGGATGGGGATGCCAGTTTTCAGAGATGAGGCATTTTGGACATTTATCACCATGTCTTGAAGTTTCATTTCAAATACAGGAGCAGGGACTGAACGGGAAGGTCTGAAATGATAGAGCGGCCTGCGCTCCCTGCCAGTAGCCCCTGTTTGTCCTGCTCCAGCCCCCCACGTCTTTGGCATTATGTGCACAGGAACAGAAAGGGGCACCAACACATCTTCAACACAGAAACACTAATTACATTCTGCCTCCAGATTACCAAGGCAGAGATACAACTCATGCAGGCTTTGGTCCTGCAGACTGTAACACACACAAGCTCGACACTTGCTGGTGGTTCCTGAGACTTCTTAGGTTTGTTGGTCGCTGCTGCACAGAAAAGGTGAATGCAGCCATCCTCAACTTGTCAGGCTGTATTTACAGAAGTGTGTGCTCTTAATTACTCCCATCACCTTTCATGGTCGTTTAGGTCTTCACGGGCATTTTCACAGCTGAGATGGGGATGAAGATCATCGTCCAGGATCCTTACCTGTACTTCCAGCAGGGCTGGAACATCTTTGACAGCGTCATCGTCTGCCTCAGTCTGATGGAGCTCGGTCTCTCCAAAGTGGGGGGGCTCTCTATTTTGCGCTCCTTCAGATTGGTAATCTCCTACTCAAATATCATGCATACAAACTTCTGAACACACAACCGCCCAAGACGTGCAACACTCTTTTGAATGATAAATGGCCTTCTATCAAGTCAACAAAACTATGCACATTTAGAAACTGTTTAACAAAAAAAACACAAATACTTTTCCCCCATATTACTTATGCACCCGTTACATGATCAGCACACACACTGTTAAACTGCTAATGTATTGCATTTAAGTTAATCTTCAGTGCATTCGTCGATGAAATTCAGACACTGATGTGTTTTAATAGCGCTGCGCTCAATTCAATTGCAAGGAGCACTCATGAAATATGGATCAAATAGCCTCCACAGTCTCTTTGGCACAGCTTAACTACCCCATGAAAATACACTGCAGAGTCACTAAAACATTCTTTATTCTTTAATCAGCTTTGTGGTTTGATGTGCTTGATTCTATCATGTTCATAAAACTGATGTTGGCTGGAGTTTTTCAGCCTCTAAGGAGCGTTTTACTTAATAGCTAGACATGCATTATGACCTAAAAACCCCCCAAACCAATTGACACGTATAGTATATTCAAAACTAATGGCATACAGACTTACTATGCAAGTAATTACAGTTGCCTTTAAAACCTATTCTGTCCATAAGCAAGATGAAATTGGCCACAAGACAAAAAATCTGTGCACCTCTACATCTCTTGTGCACTTTGCGTAACATGCAGATGTAGGTGTTCGCTACATTCTTTTAAATGATTCTTTATGAATATTTTTTCAGTTGAGGGTCTTCAAGTTGGCAAAGTCCTGGCCCACCCTGAACACACTGATCAAGATCATCGGCAACTCTGTGGGCGCACTGGGGAACCTGACCCTGGTGCTGGCCATCATCGTCTTCATCTTTGCTGTGGTGGGGATGCAGCTTTTTGGGAAGAACTATCAGGACTGTGTCTGCAAGATCTCCAAGGACTGCATCCTGCCCCGATGGCACATGAAGGACTTCTTCCACTCTTTCCTCATCGTCTTCCGGGTCCTGTGCGGCGAGTGGATTGAGACCATGTGGGACTGCATGGAGGTGGCCGGCCAGCCCCTCTGCCTCCTCGTCTTCATGCTCGTCATGGTGATCGGGAACCTTGTGGTGAGTGCTTTGTTTGTCTCCTCATTAAGCTGCCAGTGTTATTAACATATTTTATTTTATGATGGGTTTATTGAGTTATTTTATCTTAAGGTATTTGTCAGAACATCAGGAAACACATTGAGTATATATGCATCATGTTTAGCTAATGTGAATCCACGACAGATGTACACAATATATCCAAAAGAGATATCCTATAGTTTTGCATAGACAGCTGTAATATGTGGAGATATCTTTTTGTTGATTTTCTGTTGTGACAAGATCTAGCAGATTGAATATAGGGTGTGTTGACGTCAATCCCTCCGGGTGTCACATCTCTGAATGCCCACTTATACTTGGTTTGCTGACAATCCCTCTAATCTCTGTGATTGCTGGAAGTTTTGCTGTTTGTTTTATAATGGGGCGCCAAAATGGCCACTGCTCCTGCCACTAATCAGCCAGATCCTACTTTAAAACGAGGTCACAAGATTATGATTACTGTTCCTTGTATGGGTTTGCATAACCTCCTCAAGGCAGGAATTCCCCTCAAGACAAATTCTGTTTCAAAGGAGCTTGGTGCCCTAACCATATTTCATGGTTCATATGACACAAAATTAAATAAAAGAATGCACACGTATAGAGCAGACTGATGGCCAACTTCCTTCCTCCATCCCTAATGATAATGACATCTCAATTCATTCAGCTAGAAATACATATATATATAAATATATATATATATATATATATATATATGATATTTTTTTTTTTCTCACAGACATAGACTTTCTGAAGTAAAGGCTGAGCATCACCTTTCCTATAGCCACCCCTTCATTATATGGTTGTGAATATTTGCAGGTCACATGATCTGTATCAGCAGGTGATGTGCAGGGGAAGAAGCCAATAGGACCATGTGCAGCATGCCAGCATATAGTATAATACTATATTATTTGTGTCATGTCAAGTAAAGTGATACTGATGAAAACAAAAAGCAAAACCATAAGATTCCTGATATATTAATGTCTATGCAAGAATTGAATGGTGTTTATTTGTGCACATTAACTAGAGGCTAACCAGCTACAATAAAATTTCCAGTACAATGCGTATTCTTGAATACATGATTTGACTCAAAAAATGATGACTCAACTAATTATCTTAGGTTTATATTGATGAAGTATATAATTATTATGGCGATAATAGGCCTACATTCTACCCAAGCTGACTGAATATGAATGAAAGAAACAAAGATTTGATAACCAAAGGGACAGAAAACTCTTTGGCATAAAAAGCAGCTGTTGTTACAGACAGGGTACTAGTGACTGACCATTCATTAAAAAAGGTATATTTTAGTAAATATATATGTTCTTGACCAAGCTAACCTGGGGTGTTCTTGTTCAACCTAAATAACTCTTCTGGTTAAAGTGTAGCATCTGAGCTCAGAGTCCATTATCAATTTATAAGGGTCACCTGACAACAAAATAAAAAACTTCTAATCAGTTGTGTCACATGGGATCGCTGTCAGGCCCGTGTCACTCGCCGATTTGCCCCCCAGGCCATTCACAAACCCTGTGGGTCAATGACTCACTCCCTCTTTACATCAGCTGTTCTGTCAACAACGCAGTTTGGCTGGTAACTATTCAGTCGGAAATTACTCCAAATGAGAAAATCTGTACACTTCCTATACAGTCATTTTAAAAGATATTGCTTAACGTTTCCGGGCAATTGAGCTAAATCCTCGACTGATAAATGATCAGAAATACCATATACATGCAATGTAATTACACAATGAGCTCTATAGCACGCATTACATTAAATATCAGTGCTAATAAGTAATGCCTTCTAAAGTATCCTGAAGTGTATAATTTCATTAAATACCATTTAACCCTAACCAACAACAGTTTATATGTCACCAATGAGTGAAATAGTAATTTAAGTAAATAGCAAGTTAAAGCTCACGGCCATCTTTAGCTAGGAGACACTCTGCTGAATGGCAGCCTGGAGCCCGATACTGGGTTCTAACTCAAAGGTAGCTTGTGAATGACGCAGTAATGTTGCTCGGTTCATCACGTCACATAGCGACTCAGGATTAAAATCATCTGAAGGACATCTGGCACAAATCACTCACAGATATTCATAAGGGCTTCTGGCAATAACTTTGCTATGGTTCCTTCATTTATTCTCAGGTATTACTGAGCTTTCATATACTGTAACATCATGTTAATCCAGACATGTCTCCAACTGCCTAGTCATACCGGGTATTATTAGGTTAAGGCTACTGAATTGTCATGGCAGGATGTCACCTTTGGACACGTAATTAATGAAACATAAGCATTGTTTCTAGGACAGCTATAATGGTGTTCCTTTATTGCAGTTTGTGCTTGCTGAACACGAGAGATAAACCTCACAGGTCACCTTCACAGAACCACAACATTGATACAAGCTGAAGGACTCACACATTTTGGTCTCTTCAGCTCTTAATACATGCTGACTGATGTTAATTTTTGACTCACGGTACATCTGAGTAACAAACAGCACAAACTGATCCCTTTTGGGGGGGGGGACCAAGGCCATATATCGGTGTAGTGGGGTTAAATGAGTAATCTCAAACGCAGACAGGTAATTTCCAGGGACAGAGCTGTGCGATGATTCCAGCTGGTCCTCTGAGACTGCAGACGTTAAAGCAGGGCAATATGCTCCAGTAACCCTGTTTGCATCATGACCACTTCTAATCTTAGTCGTTTTTAGGTTGGCTTTCGATTTTTAAGAGCACATATTGTGCCTAGGCCTGAAGAGCAGCATTTACACACCTGTTACTAACATCCTCATTGCACTAAATCCATCCACCAACAAACTGAGGCACTTGAGAATAACTTATACTGTTTGCATACATTCTGACTGCTGCATGATTTATGCTGATCGATTATAAGGCTGGAACCCATTGATTTTAATTCCCTGCACTACGGTAACTCAGTATAACTTGCCGATATTCTATTTCTCGTAAAATTCACCGACCTTCCTTACGCCGTAACCACAAATGAATATGTAAGTTTCATCCACTGGTGTGTTTCACAGTGACCCACAATGTGTGGCTTCCCAGACACCAAATGTCTTCTCGTTTTTTTGAGCATCAGTGAAGGTCCTCAAAAAAGTCTTGACTCCCGAAGTCATGCCATACAACAAACTCACAGAAGGACTTTAAACACTGATGATCAGAAATAGGTATCTTTCCATATCATTCAGGTATATATGGTGAACAATTCAGGCAGTAGCTGATAAAGGTACCTAAGGTAGTTTAAGTTAAAAAATGTGACCTGATAACATCTAGAAGTCTCTTAGCCTCCACTGTTCAAATAAACAGTTACGACAGCTATCCTGTGGACACCCTGCCTAACCTCTTCGCACCCGAGTCTTCTGAAGCATGACTGGACCACACTGGAGCCCCAGGTGCTGGAGCCACTGGAGGCCTTGCACACGGGCAAGCAGCCATCACCCTTGATTTCACATCCTTCTTTATGTCCTTGCGTCAGGGCGAACTTGCACAGAGAGCCTCATCCGCATCGCCCATCAGTCACATACGTAGCCTGTCCCCTTCAGTTGTCATTTCATCTCGGATAATTTGTTTACATGAAAAAAGGTCTGAGAAGAGCACACTTACTCGCTAAGCGCTTCCATCTACTTTTGACTCATTGCCTCAGTCGGCAATTTTATTTTAATTTTTCCTCCTTTAGCATCCTCTAAGTCAACGAATCAACGATGAATTCAAGAACACTTTGTGCAAATGACTTTTCCTCACGGGGCAGGGATCTTTAAAAAATGTGCATCGTTTCGGGTCTGGTCACGGCGCCTGGCAGGACGCTCCAGACCTGGGCTTGGGCAGTACTGCATGCCAGCTGCAGTTTCATCACACTAATTGAAACCCTGCAGTGAGTGTTTGTGGGACGTTAAACGCAATTTTCTCTTTAAGTGTGACTCCCACCAGTGGGTGTCCCTGTCGAGCCAATGCCGTCGTCCACAGTGCCAAAGGTCTGTATGGTGGCTCACGGTCAGAATCATATGGAAAGAATATCGATTACCCCCGATAGCAGCAGCCTAGGGCAAGGATCCCATAAGCCGAGATCACAGAACGGAAAATTTCAAATGACCTTTTATCACATTAAAGTTTGGGCTGTTTTTTAGGGGATTTGGGGGAGGAGGGCAAGTTTGTCATAGAGAGATGATTCCAAACACTCTGACTGCATGATTTACACGTGGCTCATTTTCACAACCCTGTAACTTTTTTTAGAGCATTAGAATTTCAAATTGGTACGAATGCTGGCTGAAAACGTAAATCATATGCAATGGTTTTAGGAGTTGAGACTGGGCGATAACTCCCGCCGAATGAGAGTAAAAAAGGGGGGGATTTCACTGCTCATCTGGTCGCTGGCCTTTTGATGTGCGGCACTATTCACCGGGCCACGTCCTGTGTGATTCATCGGCTCTGAAACGGCAGGGCGCAGATGAAATGAGCATATCGATCGATCGCTGGCTGCCCAGCCACGGGCTGGTGGTGTTCAGGGGAGGGGGCATAGTGCCCCCGGGGTGAGCTCTGAACCCTGGAGTAGGAACCTGCGGAGGGATTCAGGTCATCCTACAAGAGGAGCTCCAAATGGTACACTGGCGACTAAAGCTCTATATCAAAGAGGAAAAAGGCACATTATGTTGAATTCCTTATCCCAAATAAAAAACAGGGGTACTTAAGGAGGTAATAAAATATATACATGATGAATGGCTACAGTGAGCATCTTATTCAAATGATCAGGGACAACCCTGGCAGGAACCCTGGCTTATAGTACCAGCTTGTATACACAACAGGAGGGACGCAATATGGCTGTATAAATAATATATACACGCACAAGGGGACTGCCATTGGAGAATGCTGAAACACAACTAATAAAACTGCGTCATCCAAAGGGGTCACCCTCCTAAGTGGAAGCTTCCTGGTACTGCAGTAATAAAAAAATAAAAAAAAAAAAATAAAAAACAGTAAAACAAAACAAATATAGGGACATAACCAAAACCCTTAGCACACGATAGCAGACACCTATGCTTATAGTGCAGAATGCATTAATTTTATTAATCAGTGCCACGCTATGGTATTTACATGGTGTTAAATAAAAAATAGAGACTTTACTCTCAGTTAGGACTACTTATTCATCCTGTAATAGTATACAGAAGGTGCCCAAGATACAAACCAGTTCCGTTCTGAGAGCGGGTTCACAAGTCCGAAAGTTAACTCAGGTTCAAACAAAGTCAGCTTAGGCATCCAGTCGATGACGGTCCAACCCCCAACTCCTATCAAAAACATGAACATGTAGTACAGCTATTTGTACATAAGAAAATGCTTAATTAACATTTATCTTTTATTTATTTTTGTTATAGATTTGTGGTGTATTTTAACAAGAAACAACTGAGAATTATTTTTTATTTCCATTGTTTTCCATGAGCTGATTTCGCTGTTTACCATTGTCAGATTAGCCTACCTCTCTCTGCTCAACTCCTATCAGAAACATTTACAAGAAAATGCTTTTAAAAGTTATTTGTATTTTTGTTGCTGATTTTCAGTGCATTTTAACAACCAGCAACTTAAGAGTTCTTTTTTCCATTGTTTTCAGTCAGTTGATCTTACTTACTGCTAGTGAGCGAGCCTACGTTACTGGAATATGTATACACACCTCCCTCTCTCCTCCCCTCAAACCTCAACTCCTATCGAAGACAAGCAACAGAGATAGGAACTAACTGACGTGCTGCTGCGAAATTTGAAATTTCAGCACAATCCTTAATTTTGCAATTATTTAAACAATTTTTAATTTATCGGACACGCATGTTCGCATCTTTGAAAGGGTCATATGTAGAATATTTTCTGTATATAATTTTATCCTGCTTGTTATAATTTTCTGTGACAAAGTGACATCCTGTCCAGGGTGCACCCCTGCTTTATGAGATCTGCTCTAGGCCCCGCTCAACTCCATCCCACTCCACCCCACAATGGACTGATAGATGAAATTAGGTTATCAGCATAATTTCATTACATTTTTTCCTGGGTATGTCAGCACATAATTTTTGGTTTTAAGTCAGCTATAACCTGTACACTACTTAGACAAACTTATTTTCTTAAAACTAGCCCCCAAACTGCTTTTGTTTGCCATGGAAGGACACTGAAATGGGGTGGTGCAGTGGTGCAGTGTTAGCCTCACACCTCTGGGGCCCGGTTTGAGTCTCTGCTGGGCTTCAATGTCTGTGGAGTTTGAATGTTCTCCCCGTTTCGTCATGGGTTTTTTCCCAAGTACTCTGGTTTCCCCCCACAGTCCAAAACATGCTGAGGCTAACTGGCTAGTTGCCTAGGTGTGTGAGTGTGCCCTGTGATGGGTTGGTACCCCATCTTGGGTTGTTCCGTGCCTTATGCCCGTAGCCTCTGGGTTAGGCTCCATACCCCCTTTGACCCTGAATCGGACAAGTGGCAGGATGGATGAAAAGACACTGAAATGGCCTCTTCATCCAGAAACAGCAAGTTCTCCTTGTATCATCACTTGGACTGTGTGAGGTAAACATGAGGTCCCTTTACCCAGAAGCCCCAGTTGTTCTTAATGTCTGTCACCCCCACAGGTGCTGAACCTCTTCCTGGCTCTGCTCCTGAGCTCCTTCAGCTCCGATAACCTGTCAGCTCCGGATGAGGACGGCGAGATGAACAACCTGCAGGTGGCCCTCGCCCGCATCCATCGTGGCCTACACTGGCTGAGACAGGGCCTCTGTGCCGTCATCCACGGTGACCTGAAGGCGCGCCAGAAGAGGAGCAAAGAGGCCCGGGCCTCGATGAGGATGAAGCGCGTGGGAAGCAAACCTGAGGCCAACGGTACCGTGCCCGGCATGGGCCGGCTAGAGGAACGGCACGCCATTCCTGAAGGTGAAGGTCACGAGACCCGGCCCAACATCGGCATTCCCATTGCCACAGTGGAATCCGATGATGACATTCCGCCGGGTGATGCGGTTGAAGAAAATGTGGAGAAGCCTTCAGAGGATGTGGACAGCAAACAGGTTTGAGACCCATTTATGCATAATTATTAAACGATTCAAGAGAGAAATTCTGCTAGTTTAATGTAGGAAGAGCTACTGCACAGCTGTTTAAAGGATTACTTAATTTATGCTTATAGTTTAATTCAGATTATACTTACCAACCTAATCCAAATATTGTCCTCATTTATAATAGGTTCAGATACTCAGGTTCAAACACTTGCTGACCTATAGCTGTTAGTAAAGGAACACGAGGAGAGCAGACAGTGCTCGCTTTCCATGTTCATACCCACAGACTGCTGAAAAAGCCACAGAAGTAAACATTGAAACCTGAGACTCAGAGACACAATGAGCTGGTTCAGATGGATGGGTGGATTATAGCAGAGTTAGTGAAAGCATGCAGATGTATAATCTGTTAATCTGTAAAGCACATGAATGAGTGCCTCATGGCAGAGAGATTTATTTATGTAACAGGAAAGCACAATCAGTTTCCACCGAGACATCAGTGTTTCTCTCCTTACTTGCCCACCATATTAATTTTGCAGCTGGATGTGAAATCCAGAGATGAATGGATGAGCTTGCATCTATAGGTTGCAGCCCATGATGCAGAACATGATTAGAACGTGACATTAGAGCAGAATCAGAGGTAGAAGAAACAGAAAGAGGTTAAAAACAGAAAGCGACTTGGACTTATTAAGGCAGGTAAAGACCTTAGTGGTATTTCAAAATGCGTACGACGAAAGTGACATTTTGGTGTGCACTCTTCACCACGAAAATGCATTCTGAACACTTCAGTAAGGGCATTTTATTTCCATCAGTCACTTAAATCATTCACTTGCTCTTCCCAGTATGCCCAGTCTGTCTGCTAGATAACTCGTAAAAGACACACAGTCATCCTCCCCCCAGAACCATCCTCCTCATTCTCCTACCTGTCGCTCACCCCACAATGTCACCCCCCTCCCCCGCCTTGTCCTGTTCCAGATTCCTATTCATTTCGTTATTTTATTCGCTGGCTTTTCTGTGAACTAACCACGGGTACGATTTTGATCTGTCCTCTGGGGAAACAAAGATAACATTTCCAAAGTGCAAGGTGGGTTGCAGAAATTAAAACTGACGCACTCTACTTTTTAAATGGCAAGTTGTAGATTTCTGCTGGGGGGGCACAACATCACCCTTAAAAATGCATAGCTGATGAGTGGACCACAACAAACACTGCTGAACAGGGTTAGCATATTTGTGGTTTTCAACAAAAATCGTTATTTAACTACAAAACACAACCTAATATTTACACCAGGCCAAAGCACCTTTTGCCTGAACAACTGAAAATGCCCCACTTTTGAGGTTCTGTTATGAGGACCCCCTACCCGGTCAGCTAAATTTAGTGAGGTGCCCCCCCCCCCCCCTGGTTGAGCACCTGCCCCTCAAGAAGTCTCTGCACGGCAGTGATTTGGTTTCAGCTTTTCTCAGTTTATGTATTCTCATTGGACAGGGCAATTTAGCTAATAATATATTGTTTAATTGTGATCAGGTTTCTTGTGTGGTAAAATATTTAAAATCGCCACTTGAATCATAGAGATATACAGTGTACTAGTATTGATAATCCGTGACACATACAAACATAAATTAGAAATAAGACGAGTGAAAACCAGAAGTCAAAGATTTATATTTCTAAACTCTGTATAAATCCACTTTTTGTCTCATCTTAGATACTGGAAGATACTTTTGTAAGATGTTGGTTTTAGATGCTGTGATTATGATCCAGCCAGCAGTCTGTCAGAACCTGTGCACTGAGACCACCGTGAATTGACAGTTACAGACGGCTGAGTTGTTGCAGAGATCAGCAGAACTAGTTGGGGCTGGTTTGAGTGAAGTGGGTCATGGCAACCTGTGGCAGTAAATGCAGAACAACTGTGACCGGTAGAGCCTCCCTTTTAACGCAGTGGGGCTCAAGCCAAGCACACTGCAGAAGAATCATGAGAGGGGGTACAGGCAGCAAGCATGATGGGTCACTGTGCTGACAATGACGTCTGAGTGTAGCACTGACTACTGACCATCTGTACACACCCAGACACGGCCAGGATATCTGGACTCATCCAGTTCACTGGCCACCTGAAACTGGAGAACTTCCTGGGAAATTCTTGATAACACTTAAGGCCACGATTTTAGTAATTTATAAATACATTCATAACTTCATAGAGCATTATAATCATGGCTATAAATATTTAGCAAAAGGCATAACACATTATAGTCATGTTTATTATGAATTTTGAATGCTTTATGAAGCTTTCAATAATGCACTATAGATACCTTCATAATGTATCATAGTGGTCAGTATAAGCATAAAGGATGCTTTGTAATGCATTATTAAGGTATATATAGTGCACTATAGATGAGAGTTTCATAAGGAATTCATAATGCATAATATACATGGCTATAATATGTTACGCCTTTTAATATTTATAGCCATGTTTATAACGCTTTATGAACGCAGTGCAATGCATTATGAATGTTTATAAATTACTAAAAAATATCACCTTAAGTAAAGTGTTACTGTCACACCCGGCTCGTCCGATCCTTGTGTGTGCCACGCCCCCCTCGTTACCTCGTGTTACTTCCTGATTGGTATCACCTGTTGCCTGTTATTCACTGCTTGTCCTGTGTATTTAGTCCGCGTTCAAGTCTGTTTCCCTAGGTCTGTCATTGACGTTATGTGTCTTCGTGTTGGAGTCCCCCATGAATAAACCCCTTTTGATTCATATTCACGGCTTCCGTCACCTGCTTCGCGTTCTGATCGTGACAATTACGAAGCTCTTTTATTATTCCATATCTTTTAATATGAAACTTTAATGAGGCTAGTGCCAGCAAAACCCAGGGCATTTCTGTAGTTCCATCCAGGTCAGACAAGATGCAGAGGTTCAGAGAGCTGACCGGAAGTGTCATGTGGTCATACCGTGCTCTCACACATATACATACACACACACACACACACACACACACACTCCCGAAGATAATCAGCCAGTGTGACTGGTCCAGATTGGGAGTCTCTTCATAATGCCAGTAAAGCAGCATCTCTTCCAGGAGCTGCTGATGGTGGTCCACTCTCTCCTGCTGAGAAGAGCCCTGGGAATACTACATGTCCACCTAGACTTTTTTTTTTCCTCCACAAGTTCCATTTCAAAATGTTACAACTCGTACAGGCCTTGCCAGAACCTGTCCAGATTGGCAACACGTGTGCAGTGTGGATGGATTAAATGGGGGTGGCACACTTAGAAAGGCCATTGCCAAATGCCATTCCAGGCCAGCGTGCATCTTTCAGCTCTCTTTGGAAGGTTAACAATTTTGCCCACTGTGTCCTCTCTCCCTGCTTCTTCCCGCTCTCCCCCCATCTCCACCCCCAACCTCTCTTCTGCACTCATTCTCCCACCTTTATCTCTCTCTGGCAGACTGTCCCCCCACCCTCGACTAGCTTCCTCAGTCCAGGGTGGCTAGGAGACCCCTCCTAACTGACCCCCACTTCAGACGTCCTCACACAGCCCCCTCGCTCCACTCTACCTCCCACGCATGCCCCCGCTAGGCAGCAGAATTAGTCATCAGGATAATGGAAAGTGGAAACAAAAAAAAACACATGCGCTTTCTGTAACCCAGTCAGCCCAACTATCAAAACCTCCTCACCGCTCCACTGCTCCCAGGCCAGATGTGTCGTTTTCGTTGGCAAGGAAACACAAGGCTGCTTAATTTTCAGGCCCATTGTGGCAAAAACACCATGCGTGGTTTCATCCGAAATAGCCAGCTGCACCCTTTTTACAACAAAAACAGCTGGAAGAGGAGAGCACTCAGCGTGGTTAATTCTGGGTCTCTGCGTGAGGGGAGGGGAGCTTATCAGTACCCCCTCTTTCATCACCTCTAATGTGATTTTAACCTGAGGTGAATTAGGGCAGACGTGGTTTTCTCTACAGCCCTGCAGCCATTGGACACCTTTAGAGATCAGAATTATGTCCCGCGAACGCAGTACTTGCAATGGCCACTAGGTGGAAGTGATTGTGAGCAGCTCATCTTACAAGCAGATCAGACTTCTGGCTCCTTGCTGCACATTTGGCTGACAAGGGGATCAATAAACAGTTTATGTTTGCAAAACTGTTCGGAAGGCACATGGGAAAAGGCAGATACTACTACACTCTGGCAAAGCCTCAGCTGAAGGTGAATATTACACCAAGCTTGTACATGCTTGGCGTATCCTGTGAGGGGGCACTCCCCCCTTTGGCACTCCCCGGTGCCATTGACCCACTAATCCCTTCCTGTAAATTCATTCAACCCACTGTCCCCCGCAACCAGAACCTGACTGTAATCCCACCTCCCAGCTAGCCCAGGACATTAAACGCAGGATTAGAAGGCCGCGTTATTGGATTGTAAGGAACACCGGTAAAGATTATAAGGATTTCCCCCACTGTTTTAATCTCAGTTATGGATGATGACTATGGTTGCACTGCACGGCTTGAAAAGAAAATCAAATGAAAATAGCATTAAAGGCACGAGCCCAGGGAATACAGCACTGAACCTCTCAAAACTGTTACGTAAAGCCTCTGTAAGCTGCATCTTTGCGGATCACTGAGTGCGTTTGAGCCACTTTCAGCAAAGAGGTGAGCTTTGGTATGCAATATCAGATCTTCTGTATATCAGTTTTTTTTATTACAATCAGACAATGCCAAGACGCTAACATTTAGCCAGTTAATATTCATACTTTCCCCATCAGCTGCCTATGGTGTTGTTCAAGTGTCTATACAGCTCTCAGAGTGATTCAAGCAACATGAGAGCCATCAAGGAGTAGCTGGTTTAAGAGAAAACGGTTCTGCTTTGTTTGGTCACAGGTGCAAGCCACAGACAATGGCGGATAAATTGCCACCAAATAGCAAAAGCCCAAATAGAAGGTTCATGTAGAATGCTTGGAAACAGCAGAATCGCAGTGTGCCAACAAAGAATTCCATTGCAAAACACCATACAGGCAAACTGTACAAGCCCAGGGGTGG